TCACCGCGGGACAAAACGATCAGCAAGGATCTATCAAGGCACTGATCGCGCGCGGCCGCTGCGTCGTTATGTGGAACGATTGCGATACTGCGGTACAGTTACCTTGACACGAGGAGAGCACATCCTTGCGGCGTGCGTGAACCGAGGATGAAAACGGGGCCGCGTGTGCCGTGAATGCACGTCGAGAAATTTTTCTAGGCTACAGCACAGTGGGCGTAAGAAACATGCAAACCGATGCGGTGTCGTATAAAATATATCCATCGAATTATTCGGTTAGAATAATTATTCGCTTGGTTTTGTATAACGAATTCTGGATATATAAATTATAAGCGTGCGCAACACATGGACGTTTAGCAAAGTACGTGTAGTATAAGAAACGAAAGAACTGGTAAAGTAGGAATTCAGGATGCCGCCGAATATTAGGCAAACGGAGTATGCCTTTGAGAACCAACTGTCACGTAATTTTTTAAGTTCAGCGCTACTTTAGAATTCACAAATTCATATACGCCAATAAATGTGACGAGGCAATAAATAACATGACCACCGTAAATCGCTACAAGTTCAAGTTGTCCAGATACTTTATGCCTCGTTTAAATGAATTGTCCAGTGGCTGAGTTATCTGGAACGCAGATGTTGCTACCTGCCTACAAAACGACTTTGTATGCATTAAGGAATATCGTGTAGATATTTTATTACAGTGTGTGCGTGAACACCATGACATCCGCAAAATCATCGATAAATGCGAAAGATAAAAAAAAGCCATCTGTCAGACATCAATGGCGGCTAATCTCCTTGTACAAGTATGTCAAATATATAATCAAGATGCAATCTATCATGCTTCAAACTTACTTGCTTAAGTAACATTCCAGCTAAATGCCTGACTTGATTTTATTGCGCGAAATAATGCTGATTTAAGAGTCAACATATTTTCTTTAAAAAAGTCACACGATTAAAAGAATAAATTACAATCCGGTAGCCGAAACTTGTAATTTATTTGTATTTAAACTGAGTTTGTATTATTTTTTATTATATATTTTGTTTAATTGTGCTTTTCTCTATTTGTAATTTATTCTTTTAATTGTGTAACTTTTTTAACGAAACGTGTCGACTCTTACTTTGCCCTTTATTTATTGTTATTTATTTTGTATAGAAAGAGTCCTTTAATCTGTTAAATGCTGATTTAAGAATTAGAATTCTATCACAAAACGGATCAATTTAAAAATTGATGTTCCGATGTACGTATAACTATCTCATGATTCTGATTCGATACAATCCCATCTTTTTCGCAGTTTCACAAGTACCTGATGTTTTTGTTAAAAATATTCTCCTATTGAAGGGCGTCGATTGCTGGAGCGGTGCTCGTATTTCGATGTATCGAGACGTAACGTAAAATAAGTGGAAGTGGAACGACGATGATCACAAGCGAATAAGAAATCGGACGAAGTAAGACGAACCTGGAATCGAGGCGAGATTCAATCTCAACGGATGAATTCACCATGAAACGTTGCGATTCACCACATAAGCGTTTTCTCGGCCTTCTTGTCCATGCTATTTTCTCGCATCTACTCGCATTTCCTTCCTCATAGATTTTTCTCTCCTTCGATTCATGCTTCACACATTTGCTTCTTGTGTATATAACATTTTATTTTGCATTACTTTTTCCACTACTTTTCATCTAAGAACTTTTTGCCATTTGCTGAATGAAGCTATTGTTTAGCAAAACTGTAGCTTTTTCTATCTTTATACCTTTTCCCAATTGTTATATTTTTCAGATATTATGCCACGATAGAAAAATGGCGCATATAAATGACGTTAGAAGATTTTCAACTTTGAAATTAAATAGTAGATGAAGTGTACTCTAAATCGGCCGGTGTTCATTGATGCTCCTATCTTTAAGCTCGGTTATTAACTGAAACTACTGCAATCAATACTAATACGAGGCCGGTCGGTATACTAAGAATTAACAATTTCCGCTAACCTAAGGCTTACAGTGTTAACTTTACGCGCGATACAACCAACGCCGTATAGTAAATCAATATAAAATCGTAAATATTAATCCCTTGCCCCTTTTTCTTGCCGCATAAAAAGCAGTAATATGTGGAAGAAGCTATTTATCGCGATAATTATTTACGATGCGGACGCCCACGACGACCTAAGAAGTGCATGATTAAATTGTGTATAGCAATGATTAAAACCGCGAAGTATAATGTACGATAAATGGTATACCGCATTCTTTCAGATACTACAAAAACAAAATTACTCTATCAACGTCGGCGTCAGTTTTAATTGCACACACAATCCACGAAATCCAAGAAATAGAAATAGTTAATAGATAATAAACTAATTATATACATACGATATACATACATACGTATAATATTGCGACGTATATTACATTAATAATACAAATGTTAAAGTTACTGTAATTTTTTATTTTCAGCAACAAAATACTGTCATTTATTATATAGAATTTCCTTTACTATATAGAGTTTGAAAAGATCACTACATCCGTTATATTCGCGTGTGTAACCATTCCATCCTTCCACTCTTAGCTTATTTTATATCTTGGTACATCAAAACGTGTCATTGTTAAATACATAAAAATAATGCAGATTCTTACAGTGTTAAAACAAGTCTAAAACCTGCATTTGTCCTTGTCACTAATAAAAAGCAAACAGTAACATACATATATATTAGTCATTAATAAAAAAAAAAAAAAAACAGAATGTCATAACATGGCGCGAATTCTTTCTCCGACATTTGTTTAAGAAGTCCGGCTTGGTTTATAAGACTTTGCCAATTCTTTCGTGCAATAACAAAATATCTAAATATAGAAAGAAGTTTGTGGGTTTCAGATTATATCGGCCCGCATTTCTCGCTATTCAATGCGCGGCTGAATGATTATGACGCTCGTTTGCTTCTTTGTACTCTACCCGACTATCCAATTGCTTACTCGGTAAGGTTGCCGTTTAAAGACCACGTATAATCTCCTCTCCATCGTAGAGAAGCTAAATGGAATCCGTCCGTGGACAGGCGACACCAACGGTATCCCCTGTCCACAACCGCGAACGTCGTTCCGCTCGAAGACATCGGCGTCCAACGACGTGCTTGCTTAGCTACCAAGACAAATGGTACACCCTACATACATTTGTATATTTCGCGATGTTTGTACATTCGGCAAACAACCGAAGCATAGATTGCAGCGACGCAGCGCGTATTGTTTCGTGAACATATTGCTAGAGACGTACTTAGGTATGTTTCATTGCTTAATTTTCTTATAAAAAAAAAAGTAGAGATCAAAGTTTGTCATAAACATGACTTTTTTTCATTAAGTAAAAACTCATTGCAATTAACTCTTTATTGATAAAATAAATCGTGATAAGAAATATTCAGATCATGAAAGTGGATTGCAATGCATTAAACTGTCCAATCTTAATTTGATAATCTGTCTTGTATTAAATGTAATAAATATAATTTTTATATGCAAATAATATCTACAAAATATTAATATTCAAAACCGTACATATAATATGTACACATAATATGTAACATAGATGTTTGTAAACATCTTCAGTATATTAGGCATGCGGAAGAAGGAATTTATAAATTCGCTAAGCCAAAATGATGATGTGAACCGGACATCTATTTTTATAGATAGCGCGCTTTCTCTCTCTCTCTCTCTCTCTCTCTCTCTCTCGTAATATTATTTTAAAATGTTTACGGTGCCACCTTGTAAAATCTTTTACAACATTTCGCACAGGTACAATTCGCCGACAAGCAGAAATGGAATTTGCTTCATCGACTGTAGATATTCAAACTTCAATCAAATCGTTCAAGAGGTCCTCACTAAAAGCATTCCAGAGAACATTGAGACATCTTATAAAACATCATAAAGACGTCCTAAAATTCATGAGACATTTTTTGAAAGTATTAAAATGACGTCTTCAAGATGTCTTATGCGTCGATTTATGACATTATCCTTAAGACATCTTACAGACTTGTCGCTTATGACGTTTTACAGATTTATCTTTATGACGTTTTACAGACATTATATATCCTTAAGACTCGCTTCGGACATTTGTCTAAAAAATAAAAGTAAAAATTACTAATACGGAAACGCGCTGACAAAAGGAAGTATACAAAGTAGAAACTGGAATTACCTGATAAATCTGTATGTAAATATAATTATAATCAATACATATTTTCAATAACAATTAATTGTGACAGATAATAGATCGTTATTGAAAATATATACTAAGTATGATGTTACGTTGTAAATTTTCAAGTATATATATATATATATATAAATTTTCATTTCTGAAGGTAAAGAAAACTTGATATAAATTTAGAGCATTCTATGTACTTTTCTGTATTGTAAATATATATCCAAATAAAAATAAAAATAAAAATAAAAATAAAACTTTATAAATAAAATAAGTTAAAAAATGGCAATATACAGTCGAGATAAGATTTTGAGAAATGTCTAATAATATTTTTAAATGTAAATCTTAAATACATATTTCATTTATATAAAGTGCGCGTAGCTTACAACAAGAAAACTAACAATTATAAACTGAAATTGAAATAATAATATTACAACTATTATAAACTGCATCGTCGATTGGATGATGATAACATGATGCTGACATCATTATCCACTTAACAATTGTTAAAATTTAAAAAAGCTAAAAAAAAAACAAAGAAATAGCAAATGTCATCCACAGGGAAAAAAACAAGAATTACCTACGTATGATAAAAAAATGAAATTGATCGGTCAATACGTTTCTAGCTCTTATACGTTAATTATTTAGAACATTGCAGTCTACGAAGCGTGACGTACAAATGCATATTTGACATCGCGTTGTATTATAATATTTATGTAATTAACACGCGCAATATATTTCATTAAATAAATTAGTCTTTGTGTTTTATATATTATTTATTAAAATGGATCTACAACGATATCTATTTTCGATTGCATTAGTTTTATTAGTGACAACACGTATCCATGGCCAAATGCGACGAATAAAAATCGGTAAGGAATGATCATTTTTTTTAAATTAATAAATTTTTTAAGACGTATCACTCATGCGTGAAAATATTGCATGTGTTCAAAAGAATTATTTAACGACAGAAATTGGCGAAAACTGAAATTTCTATGATAATCTACTCTATTGATACTACGTAAATGTAAAAAGTATTTTAAACCAAATCAGTATTTGCGAAGATTCATTTCTTTCAATTACATTGTGAAAAATTGTTTATAACAAATATTTTTCACAACATTATACAATTATATAGTATTATTCCTAAAACTTTTATTTTCATTTGAATAAAAAACCGTTTAATTACTTCAAGCAAAGATATATTAATTTAAAGTGCGATAGACCAGTTCAAAAAATTTCGGAACGAATATCAATTAAGATTAATATAATATTCCATTTGGCGACTGTCTCACACATACATTAAATTTAAATAAAAACTGATGTATAAATTATTAATTAGCTTCTTTTTTATGACAAATTACGTCATTACGTAATTAAGAAACGCTAAGTAACAATGCTATGTCAATTCTCATAATTAAAATAAAACGGAAAAAACAGCTTCACCATAAAAAATATATCAATAAAAGGAAAGTAAAAAATATTTATAATAAAATAATTTTTATTTAAAGTTTATTATTAATTAATTTTGCACGTGATAATATCAGTATATATTTGACAAAATTACGCGAGAGAAATATTTTTAACGATGTTCACATGCGCTTGTTACTTAATATTGATCCGACACGAGTAATGTAAATTGTAAACTCATGCATAGTCTACTAGTATTAGCTATTATTAAAGTGAATATACGTAATAATTATTTATAGATATAATTAGAAAATTAATTGTATGTTATACAAATCTGTTTACTTTAAATAATCATCACTAACAAATTTATTGATTCATAATTCAGCACATTTATTTATATTTATTTTTTACAAAAAATGTATATATAATATCAATTTTTTAATTAATTTTTTATTTATTAATACATTTTTAGGAGCAATTTTTCACAAAGGCGAAGAAGATCTTCAATCTGTATTCTCAAGAGCAATCTCTGACACAAAAAACGAAAACTATGGACTTGCATTTGAACTTGAAGCAGTCACTAAGTACATCGAAGGCAGTACCGACAGCTTTACGACTGCTATAGCTGGTAAGTACGTGGTGAGTTCAATTATTCCGAGTGACGATTTCCCATAATGTTGACATGTATGTTTTCTAATAATTATAAATCTATTTTCCTACATAACATCCTTATTCTAATCTCAAGAATAGAAATTTAAAAACTTTTTAAACTATCTTTACAATTATATATAATGTACATATTGTAATGTAAGTAAAATGTTATATTAATCCGTGAAAAGTTAACATCCCCTACCTTCGAAAAAATTAACTTTCTATAGCATAGAAATGTGCAAACAAAAATTCGAAGTGCATACATAAGCAATCGAATGATGTATAGTAAATGAATTTTTTTTTAAAGTTAGGACTCATCCTCAGATAAAATGAAGGTATGTTTATAATTGAAAAAGGAATAAGAGATTGATTCTTTTTTAAGATTCTTTTTTATAGAAATACGCGAGGAAATTGGAAAAAAAAAACAAATTTATATAAAGAAAGATTTACATTACATAATTATTATAATTTTAAACATATTTGCTGATTTACTTATTCGACATTGTATTATTTTCTAGCTTGTAAACTTCTTGAGGAAGGTGTGGCAGCCATTTTCGGGCCTTCAAGTCGGTATACTAGTAACATAGTTGCGAGCATTGCTGCGAGATTTCATATTCCGCATATAGAATATGTTTGGCGAGAAAGCGAAGGAAAGAAAAACCAGAAGAAGACTTCATCATCAATGACTATAAACATATTTCCTGCCAGTGAACAAGTCAGCCAGGTTAGTCGCAATTAGAAAAATCATTTTGCACTTAAATATATAAGTTTTAGTAGATATGTACATTATGATAATTTGGACATATTTAACAGTGCAAGTAATAATTCAATTTACTTTTATAATAATTTTTAGATGCATATATATTTATAGTTAATTAATCAAATCAAATTTAAATCGTGGTTTTTATAACACGTTGCACATTCGACATACAATTATTATATTTATAATATATTTTTGATCAATAAAATTGTACAGGCTATCGCCGATGTCATTGATTCAATGAATTGGCAAAAATTCGCAGCGATTTACGAAACTGATGAAGGACTGTCACGTCTTCAGAAAACTTTGATTCTAAAAGGAGACTACAACGATCCGATTATACATACAGCATGGAAGCTTGACGAAGGACCAGATTATCGCTCAATGCTTAAACAGATACGCTATCTACCAGTGCGCAATATAATTATCGATGTTAAGCCGGAAAATATCATGGAAGTGCTGTATCAGGCAAAGGAAGTCAGTTTATTAGAAGATTATTCCGACTTCGTAATTACATATTTGGTACTGTATATTAAATATACTATAAAAATAACAATATGATACTTTCAAAAGCGTATTTCGCGTATTATAGAGCCAAAAAAATTGATTAAAAAAATCATAAATTAAATTTTTAAAAATTACGTTTAAGGAAAATTAAATATAATAGAATAGGTAAAGCATAATATTATATGTTATTCTTGTGCATCTCCGATTGCTAGAAAACAAGTTTTTAAAATAATCATTCTGTTAAATCGTAGGATTCATCCACGCTACCTATTGTCGAGATAATAAATGGTACCTTTAATATCACCGGACTAAGCATAAGAAAAAATAATGACATAGAAGGAATTGATTCGGTATTTATTCAACAATCCCCCTTAATTATCAACAATAAGCATAATATAATATAATATATTATAATGTAATTTCAAAAGTTTATATTGCATTTATATATACAATTCTTAAGTACTCGCGTCAAGTCAGATCTAGACCAAGCAAATTAATGAAAACAAATCGCTCAATGATTGCAAACAGTCAGTGTAATTTGATAGTGAAAAATTATAACAAAAAAAGAATATTACTTATTATAAATATCAACGAGTAAGACATCCACAAAAGACTAAAATATTTCTGCAATTTTTTGTTGCGCGAGCACTTAAGAAAAGAAAGTATTTATTTATTTTAGCAGACAGATTAACGTAATATTTAATATTTTCACATTTTATAGACTGAAATTAAGTCACACAGATATATTATATTAAAAATTCAAAATAAAAAATTACATAAAATTAAATAACTACTTAAACTAATTCGCGATTTTGATGTAGCTAGATTCAGCGGTCCTCTATGACGCAGTATTTTTGTTGCATACAGCATTAAAGACTCTAAATGTAAAAAATATTGAAAATGAAATAGGTATGTCTATTGATCCTATATCACTTTCTTGTACTAATAGTACTAGAAAGTATCAAGTAGGACCTAATATTATTAGCATTATGCGAGAGGTAAGGAGGTCTTTTTTTATCATATCTTATATAATAAAAAAATAACAATTTGACTTTAAGTCTTAAGACATATTATGAAAAAAGTAATTTAATTAATAACGACTTTCATTTTTATATATACTTACATAAAAAAATAAACTCTTCAAAGTTAATTTAATGTCACATAAAATCTATTAAATGTGACATAATAACGACTCCAATGATTACTACCTGAACACAACTGTATTCAAATAATGAACATTCGTGAAATATAATTGAAAAATTAATACAAAATCTTTATTATTTACTTTTAACGCAAAAAAATAAATTTTTACTTTCAACATATGAAATTTTTTTTTACAGATATCAAAGAGAGGAAAGATAACAGGCATTATGTATATTGATGAATACGGTCGTCGACGAGATTTCAATGTAACAATTTTGAACTTTCAACATTTGGATATAATAGAAACGAGTTATTGGGATACTAATGGTATACATAACATACCGCCTACGATGGAGGAAGATTTATATTTATACAAAAGATTCGTAGAAGAGAGAATATTCAAGATTAGCGTAACCGTAGTTCGTAGTATTATTTAACATATTAATTATAATCCTGACATTAAGATTATATGTTGTTAGCCATTAAATATTCGAATTATATCTTATAAATTTATAAATAAAAAAAAGAGCTGAGAGAGAGAGAATGCTCGTAGAACAATTATATGTAACTTCATTGATTTAAATCGTCTGCTATTATCATTAATTTTTAAGATATTATTTATAATAAGTACAGAAAATAGCAAATTAAACGGAAAAAAATATTGTGTTTAATAATATTACTTTATTGCTTCAATACAGATAAGTATGATTTTTCTTTTGGTATAAAAACAGAAATATTGTATATCACTAATAGTAATAACGAACGAGTTAAATCAAGTTATACAAGTATATAATTGTTCTACGAGTATCCTTTGTCTTAGATCTTCTTTTTATTTATTGTAATCAGAATTCACTAAGTATAAATTATACAAATATTTTTGGAAATATAAAATATGTAATAACTTTCTCCGATTCAGAATGCACCCTACATTATGGAAGTGATCGATGGTTCAACGCGAGGAGTATTAATTGGTCAAAAACGCTATGAAGGTTATTGCATCGATCTGATTAATAAAATCGCAGAATTTCTAGAGTTTAAAAGCGTAGTATTCCAACTTGTAACTGATGGATATGGCAATTATAATCCACAAACGAAGACTTGGAATGGTCTAATCAGAAGCATTCTGGATTATGTAAGTAAACCATCCTGTATTTTACAAAGGGAAAAAATGATTTGTTAAAATATCTATAAATTTTGCTAGATATAAAATCTAAAAATAATTTCGTTAGATTGTCAAAATAATTATGTAAAAGACTTAAATTAATTTCTAGGATATTAAAACATTTCACAGCATTGCTAATTATACTTGAATTTATTGAATATTAAATTACTTTGACGGTCCCGTTAAAATTATTTTCAGATTTGCATCTAATTAAATTTTTATATATTTCAACAAAATTGTATTTTCCGTGTAGGAACATTTGCTTAAAGAAAGATATGTCCTTAATATATTATTTCTATCACCTCATTTTGGCGAGAAATTAAAGTAAAAAAATTTTCTTTTATGAAAAGACAGAAACATGTAAATCAATTGAGTTTGCTTTCGTATTACAAGTAAAGTATTAATAGCATTTTTTTTAATGTAATAATCCAGCTTTTATTTAAAATCCATGTTAATTGTCATCACCTTCATTTTACAAGATTTCCCTATTTATTGTAATAACAAAAAAAATAGTTCGAGTCTGCATTATTTTTCAGTAAATAATCTGTTATTTATGATCTATTTCTTAAAAATTTCAGGAAGCCGATTTTGCTGTATCCGATTTAACGATAACACCCCTCCGCATGGCCGTTGTGGATTTCAGTTTGCCTTTCATGATTACGGGTAATACAATACCTCTAGAGAGAACCCAAAAATAAATTAAACATGTTAAGATATTGTAAGAATAAATAAATAAATAATTAAATTTTAGACTATATTAATGGCAGTATTCCAATTTTGTTTTCAATTAGGTTTTAGCATAATAATTAGCAAACCGGAAAAGCACACGTCATCTTTTTTCCCAGTCTTGATGCCTTTCTCTATAGAAGTATGGCTCTCCATGGCTATTGCTTGTTTCGTCGTATCGATAATGTTATTTCTTCAGGCAAAGTAAGGTTTTTAGAGACAAATTACTTCATAATTTTAAATGTAATAAAAATGTAATAAAAATTATCCTTCTCAAATTAATATCTCCTAAAATTAATAGAGTGAAGATAACCGTTAAAAATGTGTATTGTATTTCGTAAATTTAAATTCTTTCTCAAGAATGACACCTAGGAAATGGAACAATCGGCATCTATGCAATGCTGATCCTGAAGAAAGTAATTTTAACTTCAAAAATTCGTTCTACTTGACTACTGGTTCTTTTATGCAACAAAGTTCAAACATACGGACCAAGTAAGCTTTAATATGATATCATAATGATTAATAAACATACATTTTTAATTTTGAAGAAATTATTTTTTTAACCACGAGTTAAATGTTTTAAACTATTATAATATTTACACACATAAACAAAATCACTTTCATTGTAGAGCATCATCTCTGCGCATGCTTGCAAGTATATGGTGGTTCTTTACTTTGATTATGTACAGCTCATATACAGCGAATCAAGCTGCCTTTCTCAATATGGACAAAATATCTATTAAAGGAATTGAGGATCTGCCCAAACAGATAAAAATTAAATATGGTGCACTAAAGAATGGCGCAACAGCAGCATTCTTCAAAGTACATTAGCAGCTAATTATTTATGATCATATTTAGCTCAATATGAAAATAATTTACATATATAATTCGATATTATTATCCAATTATAGAATTCGAATCACTCAACGTACCAACAAATGTGGATTGCAATGGTGAATTCTAGCCCAAGCGTATTCGCATCAAGTTATGAAGAAGGTGCGCAATTCCAAAGTCGAACATACACCACCTATGTGAAAAATACGTGAAAAATACATGAAAAACCTTTTTTTGAAAAGGATTACATTGTTCGAAAAAACAAATTTTTTTCTTTTGAATTCTGTTTTTCAAATACCTATATTAATTTTACGATACATTTCAGGTATCTATCGAGTTCTCCGCGGCGAAGGACGATATGCCTTTCTCATGGAAAGTGGTGCTATTGAATATATTACGAAGCGCCAATGCAATCTAATTAAAATAGGCAACGTAGTCGAAAAGAACAGAGGCTATGGCATTGCTATGCCACGCAGTAATATTATAACTTCACTACAATATATCAATATTTCTCCATTTCTTTATCTTTATATAAACCATTTCTCTTGCACCTCTTCCATAGATTCTCCATATAGAATACCGATTAATCGTGCGATCCTAAAGCTGGGTGAGACAGGTACACTGGCGGAAATCAGAAAAAAATGGTGGGAAGAAAGAGGAGGAGGTTTGTGCAAAAAAGATGAAATGGAAAATGATGAAAGGACAAACCAATTAGGGATGGCAAGTCTGAAAGGTGTATTTTTCGTTCTAATGTGTAGTTGCAGCGCTTCATTCTTTATCGCAATTTGCGAATTTCTGTGGAATGTACGTAAAGTCGCTGTGACAGAGAAGGTAAATCTTCACTTTATCGTGTTCATTATTAATTTTGGGATAAATACTATAAAAATAAAGTAAATTAATTTTCATCCTCTTAATGAAGAAAAGTACTCAAAAACTTAATGTACAATACAATATGAAATTTCTTTCTTTTTATGATAAATTAAATTGTGAAACAAAATGCACAATACGCAAATTTTAACTGTATGTATTATATGTCCAACCTTAAATTTAATAAGTTAGTTACTGCATCGCCATCATTGCGATATAAAGAGGAACTTATTATCATCTTTCGTACAGATCACGACGTGGAAAGTGCTAGTTGCCGAGTTAAAATTCGCCGTAAACGTCTTCGCAATTACGAAACCCGTTAAAATTACCAAAAGCAGCAACAGTCACATAAAATTCTAGGGATGGTGGACTTGACGGCGCTTCATCTACGGCTTGATCTATTGTTGATTCTTTCTTATGTATTGATGTGTTCGGTAAATTCGATAAAAACCATAATAGAAATAAAGTGTGTGTAATAATCATAAAATTAATTAATTATTATCAAGGGAATTTAAGCTTAACCACAAATTTTTGGAATAATACAAGACTCCTACATGAAAGCACTTATTCATTAAATAAATATTTATACCTATATAAATAGGTAATGTATAGATATTTGAATTTAAAGAATGTGTATTAAGCACGGGTCGATGTATTCACTAAACTAAACGACTGTGTAAGTCAGTCATTTCTGTGTGTATACTTCTCTTCTGTAATATTATTTAAAAATGTTAATGATACCATCTTGTACAACAATTAATATAAGTATAATTCGCCAACAAGCAAAAATCGGATTTGTTTCATCAATTGTAGATATTCAGACTTCAACCGGATCGATCCTTATTAAAAGCATTCTTAAGATTTAACAAAAATAATTGTATGACATTAATTTTTATTTTTATAAGTAAAGCATGACACAGATTGAAAGATTATTCTGTATTGTATTTAAATAAATTTTTTTTAGTATAAAGTGATGGTTAAATAATTTTCTAATTTCTTAACCTTGAATAAATTTTAGTTTAGAAAATATGTCTTAATTTATACTGTCATATGTGAATAATAATAACGGCAAAAAAGATTAATCTATTTCGGTATATGTAATGCAAGGAAAAACTTCACATTACTCGCTTTGACATTATATTTCAATATGATCGCGATAAAAGACTACAAGCACTAATTACTTAAGTTTTTTATGTGTTATAAATAATTAGTAATTTTTATATATTGTTATCCTTTATTAATTTACTACTTCATTTGTTCATTAATTTTTTGCTACATGATTAAAAATGTATTCTTTCTAATTTTATTTTGAAGATAAGAGATATTTTAATCACAAATTGGCAAATTTGCAATAAAGAAAATTAATTCAAATAATAAAAACGGAAAAACAAAACGTAGATTGTTTGTATTTATTACAATTTAGACTTAACTTTTCTCCCTATTTGTTAAAATTACAACAAAAAATATCCCTACTAATTTATTTAATTAAATGAACAAAATATAAATTTATAATTTTAATAACACACTTATCTAAATATATTTTTTAAACATAGAAGTAGAAATATAAAATATTGTTACTGGAAGAATGTGCGACGTAGTCACTACGACACGGTTACAACGAACGACGCGAAGCCAAGTATATATAAGATGTGGTCCAGATCCAAATTTAGATCAGTGTATAGTAGGACAACATCGAAGTCGAAACTTCGCGAATACAGTTTTCTGATTCATTAGTTTTCCCTCTTCTATTTCATTGAAATTTCGAAAAGTTTCTATCAGTTCTTTGCTTCAGATAAAGATCTTAATTAATTTCAATTAAAAAAGTATTGAATTTAAACAATGAAGAAAATGCAGTTATTGACGCACGAACATTAAGGTAAAACTAGTAAAATTATTAGTATATATATATATATAAGGAAATATAGTTTTACTGATATAAAAATCGATATGACTCGATTGATCTCAAAATAATTTAAACCATTAAAATTTATAATCATAATATAAAAAATTTTTATTAGAAATTATGATTACTCGTATATTCTTCAAATAGCTTAGATTAAAAGTAAAGTTATTAAATAATAATAAATATTTTATTTAAAAAAAAATTGAATATTAATTAAAATCTACATTTGATATCTACATTTTATTATATATTATTGATATCGATAAAATGTAGTATTATGACACATAGAAAAGGAGAAATCATTGACAATTGCTCAAGTTATTGCATATCTTGTAAGTAAATTCACTATTGTGTTTTACAGATTTTTTTACTAAAATGGATTCACGACAGTATTTGTTTTCGATCATATTAATTTCATTAGTACTGGCAACACGCATTCATGGTCTGATGCGACCAATAAAAATCGGTAAGCAGTGATTATTCTAGAAAATTAATAAACTTCAGAAAGCATACCGCTTATGTATGGAAGTTTCGCAGATCAAAAAAAATCATTTATCGATAGAACTGGCAAACACTAAACCCTCTATGATAATCTACTTTACAGCAATTTAACATAATATTCTATTTGACGACCGCATATACATATTTAAATTAAACAATAAATGGCTCTATAAATTATTTATTGTTTTCTTCTTTTTTATGACAAATCGTCATTAAAAGAATGTCATATAACACATGGATTCATAATCAAAACAATATAAAAAAAGTATGTTTAACATAAAAAATTTTCTTAATACGATAGAAATAAAAATATATTTATCAATTTTAGAGTCAAATATATTTATAAGTTTTAGAGTCAAAATTCAGTAATGATAAATTTTGCTCGTGATAATCAATTACCAATGTTCATAAAGTCATGCAAGAGAAATATTTTTCACGATGTTCACATGCACTTATTACTTAATAATTGATCCGACGTGCATCACGTAAATTGCGAATTCGTGCATCATTAACTAATATTTAGCGATTATTCAAGTAAATATATTATAGGTATGTAATAATTGTTTGGAGGTATAATTAGAAAATTAATTGTGTGTGTGTAATTGTATATTAATCTTTTTACTTTAAATAATTTATTACTAAATTTTATATTTATTCTTTAAAAAAAAAATATTATAATTTATTTGAAAAGCACTTTATTTTTAATTTTTAAATTTCGTACATTAAAGCTTTTCTGATGTCTGTTATATAATATATAATCATGTATATATTCCTTAATCTTTGTACTATATTTCACACATTAATATTAATTAATCTAACAACGTTAGACTTTTAATAAATTTTTTAATTATTAATATATTTTTTAGGAGCAATCTTTCACAAAGGCGATGAAAATCTTAACTCTACATTCATAAAAGCAATCTTTGATACAAAGTACGAAAATCTTGCACCAGCATTCGAGCTTATCCCAGTCATTAAATACATCGATGCTAATACTGATAGTTTTAAGACTGGTGTAGCTGGTAAGTACGCGATGAAACCAATTACTCCGAATGACAATTATTCCATAATATTAAAAAGTTTTCTAATAATTATAAATATGCAATATTTTTTCATAATGTATTTATTCTAATTCAATCCCAAGATTCGAATAGAAAATTAAAAATGTTTAGAATAGTTCTATAGTTAAACATATAATCATATATCGTAATATATATGTGTATACACACATATATATATATGTGTGTGTGTGTGTGTGTGTGTATATATATATATATATATATATATATATATATATATATATACATACACGTAAAATGTTATCAAATAATCGTATTCAATAAAAGCATAATAATAATTTAAAACGGGACGAGAAATTTTTTTATGATCACAAAAATTCATGTGTAAATTGAAAAAACGAATTTACAAAGAAGCTTTACATTGCATTTTTATTCTATAATAATTTTAGACATATTGTTAATTTATTCTATATTTTTATATATTTAATGTATTATTTTTTATATAGCTTGCGAACTTCTTGAGGAAGGAGTAGCAGCTATTTTTGGACCTGCAAGCAGGTATACTCGTAGTATAGTTGCAAGTATTGCAGCTCGATTTGATATACCGCACATCGAATATGTCTGGCGGGAAAACGAAGGATTAATAGAGAAAAATAAAAAAAAGAAGACTCTATCGTCAATGACCATAAATGTATTCCCTGCCAGTGAAAAAGTCGGTCAGGTCAGTCGCTTATGTTATAAAGAAGTGCTTTGCAATCGAAAATCGATTTTGTTTTATACGCTATAGTAAATCGCAAAATTTTAAAAAGATGTTTAATAGTGCAAGTAATAATTCAATTTATTGGTTTACGCGGATAATTTTTAGGTGCATATCTGATTAATTAAATCGAACGTAGTCTAAAATTCTAAGATGCAAGTTAAATTAATTTTGATATCGTTGAATTTAAAATATAATTATTATTTTTATAATGTATTATTAATCGACAAACGGCAGGCAATCGCTGATGTCATCGCATTAATGAATTGGAGAAATTTCGCAGCGATTTACGAAACTGACGAAGGATTATCGCGCCTTCAAAAAACTTTGACTCTAAAAGGAGACAAAGAAAATCCGATTGTGCACACAGTACGACAGTTGAACGAAGGATCGGATTATCGTACGATGCTTAAAGAAATACGCTCTTTGTCGGTGTGCAATATAATTATTGACGTCAAGCCGGAAAATATCATAAAAGTGCTCGGCGAAGCAAAGGAAGTCAGATTACTAGCAGATTATTGCAATTTTATGTTAACGTATATGGTATAGTATATTTCTTACAATTATCAATAACAAAACAGTACTTTCAAACATGACATTTTTTACGTATTTCCAGTGAAAAGATTAGTGTTTAAAAAACTATGAATTAAACTATTAAAATTAAATATGTAAGAAAAATTAAATAGAATATAGATAAAATATGTATAATATTGTATATTATTTTTGTCCGATTGCTAGAAAATAGCGCGTAAACAGTTTTTGAAATAATCTTTCTATTGAAATTGTAGGATTCATCCAAACTATCTATCCTTGAGATGCAACATGGTAACGTCAATATCACTGGACTGAGCATAAGAGAGAATGATGATATAGAAGGAATTGATTGGGTATTTATTCAAGAACCTCAATTTTTTATCAACAATGAGTATAATGTGTTATATTAACTATAATATAATCTCAAAATTTGTATATTCTCTTATTGAGATAAAATATTTAAAATAGAAATATTTATATGGAATTACATAAGTTGATTGCCTGAATTGTTCGCGATTTTATGTAGCTGGATTCAGCGGTTCTCTATGACGCAGTATTTTTATTACAAAAAGCATTAGAAACTCTAAATGCAAGAAATGATAATGAAGAATATATTGATCCTATACCACTTTTTTGTACTAATAGTACTAATAAGTATCAAGTAGGACGTAATATTACAAACG